CAAAGAGCTGGGACTAAAGGTTCCATTTGACCCATCCATCCCTCTGCTGGGTATCTTCCCAAAAGAATTAAAAGAATCATACCACAGTGATATATGCACACCCATGTTTTTAGCCGCACAGTTTGTAATAGCTAAAACCTGGAAACAGCCCATTTGCCCATCAGTTGGAGATAGGATAAAGATGTGTTTTTTCTATAAAATGGAATATTACTCAGCCATAAGGAACGAGAAATTAGATTCATTCATAGGAAAATGGATACATATTAAGGATATACTCCTAAGTGAAATAAAAAAGTCACACATGTGTAAATACTGAATAGTTTCTCTGGTGTGAATAAACTGTAATAGTACATAAGATCCTAATGAGATAACTGACATTTTGAAATGGGAAGAAAAGAGTTAAAGGCGTAGCTAAAGTGGGAAGGGTAAGGGAAAGGTAATAAGGGAAAAATATGAGAAAATGAAAAAATGGAAATAAAGTGTTTGTAAATGAGGAGGGTAGGAGGGGCTCAAGGGAGGGCAGGGATAAGGGGAAAAAATGAGAACCAAGACTACATGTCATATAAAGGTAGAAGATCCCAATAACAAATGTAACAGTATTATATATGTAAAATATACCAATAAACTCCATAAAAGAAAAAAATCTATAGTGAAACAGAATTATAAATGTAATTTTAAAAATTAACTAAAATGTATATATATAAATTGTTTCTCAACTTAATCAAAGAAAGTATAACAGCTAACATTCTAGATGTTATAGAAAAAGATCACTTATGCTTTTTTAAATATAGTGTTAGAACAATTTATGTATTTCTAAATATGTTTCTAGTTGGACATTTTTTCCAAATATATTAATTTGGCCTTTCTCAATGTCAAGAAAATGAAAGGAATATATATCTATCTATATATAGAGATAAAGATATATATCTATATATCTCTATCTCTCTATGTATAGAGAGATAGAGATAGATAGATAGATAGATAGATAGATAGATAGATAGATAGATAGATAGATATAAGAGACTGTGATATGAAAGTCAGTGTTAAAGCTTATTTGAATGTGCTAACATGTTAGGGAAGACTTTAATAAGCAGTTTAATATTGGATATAGAAAAAGGATAAGGAGCTGTCTTTAGTTCATTTTATCTGGGCCAAATTTTTTCTAGTTTCTTTTTAATTGTACAATGGAGATGAAAATATTAATAACAGTTAAATTTTTGAGCACTTGCTATCAACCAGGCACCTTTAAGGGTTTTCTCTTTTTAACTCATGTAAACTTCTAACGACATACAGACAGCACTGCGCTCTGCTCTTTCTTACAGGAAGAATGACAGAGATCTCACTGGCTGAAACATGGATTTGGGAGTGCTCGTGTAGGATAGATGAGGGTGTGGATGCTACCACAGATCCCTGCTGAAGTCTTAGCCCATCTGCTCTTGGCAGGCCCAGAAATTCTAGCACCAGTTTGTAACAGGGCCTGTATGATGATGCTTCTCCCAGCTTCATTTGAAGGGATTCTTCTTGGGTGTGACTTGGCTCCAACACCAGAAAACCATGCATAAAGTGTGGTAGAATTAAACTGTGGAGTAGTGCATGTGGAGGATCAGAAAACAGAAACACAACATACTGATTTCTATTAAAAAACACAACGGTAAAGGAAAAATATGAAACAATATGTATTTAAACAAACATGCAAGTAAAAGCACTAGAAGAGTGATCTAATTTGATTGACAACTACTTGAAAGTGCAGGCAATTAAAAGGAGGGCATCATATCTAAACTCCAGTTTTAGGGAGGTGGTATAACTCAGTGGTAGAATCCAACGCGACAAAATTTGTGTTTGATTCTTAGTACTACAAAGTAAATACTTGAAAAAAACAGAAAGTAGAAATTTGTATAAAAGAAGGAAGAGAGTGTGACACACTGAGAAATATGAGCAACTTAGTATTTTGCCCTATAATTGTAATGTAAAAATATAAAAATATAAGTAAAACTATTGTTTTAATTTTTAAAAGACTTTTCTTTTGAATAAAAAATTTATGCTTCATATGGTATACGGGATGACATTATACACACTGATTTTTACAATTAGTGTAATTCAAAATTAAACAGCTATTTTCTAGAGATTTAAATAAGAGTTCCATTTGCTCTAACAATTTATATACAAAAAGTTTCTAGGGAGCATATAACTGTACCTGAGACCAATGATATAGACTCATAACTCTTTACTGAAATAGCTATAGGTACAATCATTTGCTTCTAGAATGTACTCAGATATCAAAAAGATTATTTTAAAAGGCACAGAAAAGTTAAAGTATTGGTTTATATTTTATATGAAGGTATTGAATTCCCACCATTAAACATGTGTAAAAATTTATAATTTTATCTCAAATTTTAGATAAGCTTTATACTTTTTATTTAAATAAAACTATCAATAAAATTATTGGCTAATGGTGATTTAATAAATTTCTTGTGTAACATACATCATTTGAATCTGTATCTCCAGTTCATTTTTGTATCTTTTCTTTATTAACCTGAAAAGAAGAAAATGCAATAAATAAACAAATACTAATTCTACAAATGGCTACATAAACAGAATGAGAAAAATTACACTTCAAAAATGTGAAAAAAAGATGGCTTCCTGTATAATGATAACACTATTTTTATTTATCTAAATTTTCTAGATTTTTTAAAAGAGTACAATAAAGTATGTTACATAACAGAATGTGGTCACTTTAATATTTTCTGAACCTAAAGAGTGGGAGTACCCTTTTGCAAATAAGAGAAAGGAATAATAAGAGTGAAATAAAGGGGTTTTCTTGTAAGTGGAACTGACACTATTTTCTGAGTTCAAAATTTTGCTTTTTGCTTTAACCTGCAAAGTGTCTAAGTTAGAGTCCTTTACTTCTGTCCTCGTACAGACACAACTACCTAATACAAACATTTTTTTTCAACACTGGTCAAATCTCAAGTATTATCATTGAGGATAGAGACAAATGAACAGTTGCCTTTTCTTCCAGATAGCACAGAAGTCAAACCAAATTGACTATACATGTCCATCACTTCAGCAGTCAATGTATAAGTCTTTATTGATTGAGAAAATCCAAAGCCTCTCTTCTCTTTTTTATCACTGCTTTTCTCCAAGATTTAGAAGAATTGGATTTTGAGAATCATTAGTTTTGTCAACTTATAAAAATGGAATTAAATCAGTGGTAGTTACTGACTCAGCGATTAAAAAATGTTTTTCTGGGTATCACTAGTGAAAGAAAAAAAAAAAACCTTAGTGATATTTATACAATTCATAATATTAATTTTGCCTAAATGCATCCATTAATTTATTTTATAATACAGATCTGTTTCATTTTTCTAAAATTTTTCTATGAAAAATTACAGATGCACAGAAAACTTTAACAAACTTCACTGTGAATAATGGTATACCATTGTCTAGATTCTATAAATAACATTATATATATAATATAT